AAATGGGGCTTGTGGGAGGTAATTAAGGTTAGATCAGGTTATTAGGGTGGGGTCTTCATGATGGGATTAGTGGCCTTATAAGAAGAGAGAGCATGACTGGGCGAGGTGGCTCACACCTGTAATCCCAACACTCTGGGAGGCCAAGGCAGGTGGAGCACTTGAGATCAGGAGTTTGAGACCAGCCTGGCCAACATGGTGAAACCCTGTCTCTACTAAAAATACAAAAAATTAGTTGGGCATGGTGGCACATGCCTGTAATCCCAGCTACTCGGGAGGCTGACACAGGAGAATTGCTTGAATCCAGCAGGCAGAAATTGCAGTGAGCCAAGATCGCAGCACTGCACTATAGCCTGGGCAACAGAGCAAGACTTCGTCTCAAAAAAAAAAAAAAAAAGAGCAGCAGTCTCTCTTTCTCTTTCTCTCTTTCTGCCCCATGTAAGGACACAGTGTGAAGGTAAGGAGCAAGCCAGGAAGAGGGACCTCACCAGGAACAGAATTAGCCAGCACCTTGATCTTGGACTTCCCAGTCTCCAGAACTATGGGCAATACATGTCTGTTGTATAAGCCACCCCACCTAGTGTATTTTGTGATAGTCACCTGAGCTAAGACAGTGTCTGTATTTGTTTATACCTACATTCATTTATATACAAATTTAAATCTCTGCTGATTTCTGCATCTATCTCTATGTTGAAAATCATGAGTGCGCACTAATACCTCCAATGCCAATCAACACCTCTGGATTTATTCAAGTTCTCCTTTCCATATTTGTAACTTCTTTCTCCTACAGTGAAAGCATGGACTTCCATTGTCTCTTACATATTTACTCTTTTTCTCCACTCCCTCTGTATAACAAATTTCCCATCTCTGCTGCCCACATCTCCTCCATGTGGGTGATGGTTGGGTACTAACAGTGCTGACTGTCTCGCCCTACTTGGATCTAAGACAACCTTGGTGGTGGCCCCAGTGCATGTATATCCCCGCCACCCTCTCTGGCTTTGACACATGTTCCAGGATGCCCATTCAAGGAAGCCCTCTTCCACCCTTCTGGACTGATGACTCTGCTGGGTACTCCTTCCCCTGTGTCCTCCTCCCCATGCCTGAGCTCGGCCACCCTGCTCGAGGCTGCCAGCCCCTCCCACCATGGGTCCCTGCCTTGCTCTGTTCAACTAACCGCTAATGGCTTTAAAACTGAATTATTCAGGAAGGAAAGGGAACAAGGAAAGGAAGAGCATTTTATTGTGGGTTTTTTCCTGATTATTTTAGTAATACAAAATGACTTGTAGACATTTGGGGAAATATAGAAGAGACAGAGGAAGATAAAAATCCACAATAATTCTCCCACCCAGAGAAAACTAGTATTATCCTTTTCCCTCCAAAAACAATGAACTTAAGCAAAAACAACTCCCCCCGCCCCCAATCCCTACCTGCCAAACTACTAGTTTCCTCAGTTGAGAAAAGAATATATGCACATGCCGGGCGCCGTGGCTCATGCCTGGAATCACAGCACTTTGTGAGGCCGAGGCGGGCAAATCACAAGGTCAGGAGTTCAAGAACAGCCTGGCCAACGTGGTGAAACCTTGTCTCTACTAAAAATATAAAAATTAGCCAGGCATGGTGGCCCGCACCTGTAATTCCAGTTGCTCGGGAATCTGAGGCATGAGCATTGCTTGAACCCAGGAGGTGGAGGTTGCAGTGAGCCAAGACTGCGCCGTTGTACTCCAGCCTGGGTGACAGAATGAGACTCCGTCTCAAAAAAAAGAATATGTGCCCATAGTTGAAAAATTCAGAAGTAACCTTCTTCCCACTCAGATCCCCAAGACCCCTCCCCAGGTGCAACTGCTGAATTCTGTGTATTGTATATTCTTCTAGCTATTTTCCATGCATATGTATGTTTACTCTATTTCTCAACCAAATTGAACTTTTACCTTTCTTACATATTTCCTCTTAGTCTTTTTGCTCTGCGTGTATATAATGTAGCAAAATATGAACTTTTTCCTATGTTCTTGTATTTGGCTTCTTCCAAAGTTATCACTTGAAGTGCCTGCATAACTTTCCATCATATATGTGTTTCATTGGTTTCATCTCCTGTTGTTGGATATCTGCAGTTTTCTTACTATCATAAATGATGGGCTTTGTCTTTATTGTGCCAGGGGAGTCATGAAGCCAACCCAGCGTGGTGAAGCAGTTCAGCTGCTTTTGGTGGCTAGTAATAGAATATTGAGCTAAACTGGCTAAAACAATAGAGGTTTATTTTTCTCAATAATAAACACTCCAAGGCCGGGCACGGTGGCTCACGCCTGTAATCCCAGCACTTTCAGCGGCTGAGGCTGGTGAATCTTCCGAGGTCAGGAGTTCAAAACCAGGCTGGCCAACATGGTGAAACACCATCTCTACGAAAATTTAAAAAAAAAAAAAAATTAGCCAGGCATGGTGGCTCACGCCTGTAATTCCAGATACTCAGGAGGTTGAGGCACGAAAATTACTGGAACCCGGGAGGCGGAGGTTGCAGTGTGTTGAGATCGTGCCACTGTGCTTCAACCTAGGGTACAGAATGAGACTCTGTCTCAAAAAAAAAAAAAAAAGCATTCCAGAGGTGGGTGATTAAACCAGTTTTGCCCAAGATGCCAAAATACAGAAGATAACATTTCAAAGCCAAATCACTGGGTAGAATTTCCAAAGCACAGGTTTGAGGGTGTCTCCCTGTGTTCCTGAACTCCTCACTCTCTTCAGGATTCAAAGAGGGGAGAGAAAGAAGATTCTTTAACTGGTTTTCTCTTCAGATTTCTTCTGAGGTGCCCGGGATGGAGTTTTACTGCCCTCAACTTAAGGCAGATCTCAGACAGAGCATTGAGACCTACTTCTTGACTGACAAGCGAGAGAGCTAACGAGACCTGTGGCTGCCAGACAGGAGGCCTGTGCTGGAGGCAGCCACCGTGATACTGAGTGCTTCCCCGGGTCTGGCATGCAGCACTCAGGAGAGAAAAGCTGCTAGTCCAAGGAGGGCAGGGGATCCCCTAAGAAGAAAGTGGGAAGTGGGCACAGCACCCCTGTGAGGCTGAGGGAGGAGACCCCGGACACATGCATCCCCTCAAGAGACCTCGAGGGAATCCAGGAGTCGCAATCTCCTAAGAGCCTGCAGAAGCATCCGTGAGAAAAAAATCATCTGGGTCACAACAGAGACCCCAGCTGGCTTTTAGCAGTACCCACTTAGGAAAGACTCTACCGGTCATCTTGCCAACATGCTGGCCCTAAGGGTTCAAGCACGTCCTAGCAGCCTGGTAGGGAGTAAGTGTTGGGTGGAAGGAGAAGAAGCATGAGACAGAAAAAGAAACGCCAGCCATGGCCTCTTTATGCCTCAGGCTGTGGACCTGACACAGGCCTGGTGATGGAAGGGAGACATGATGCAAAATCATTCAGGCTTTTATTCATCTTGGACTATTCTGATTCCACAACTACAAATCTGTTTGCTAGGGAAAGTGACTTTGGATTATCTATTATCTGAGGGTGAGGACAAAAGTCAAGGACCTGCCAGAGTTTTCGTCCGGTAGGGGAATATCACCCCCTGAAGAGTTTCCAGGGCCAATGGGGAACAGCAGTAGAGTTCATTTTCATCACACCTAATGAGCTGTGTGTCTGACATTCCAGTTACAAGCTGAGCTAAAGTGGCTGAAGCAACAAGGCTTTATTTTATTTTTATTTTTATTTTTATTTCTTGAGACAGAGTTTCACTCTTGTCACCCAGGCTGGAGTGCAGTGGCACGATCTCGGCTCACTGCAACCTCCGTCCTGGGTTCAAATGATTTTCCTGCCTTAGCCTCCCGAGTAGTTGGGATTACAGGCGCCCACCACCACACCTGGCTAATTTTTGTATTTTCAGTAGAGATGGGGTTTCACCATGTTGGCCAGGCTGATCTCGAACTCCTGACCTCAGGTAATCCGCCCACCTCAGTCTCCCAAAGTGCTGGGATTACAGGCGTGAGTCACTGCACCCAGCCGAGGGTTCATTTTTCTCACCTAAAAAGAAGTTGAGAGGTAGGTGGCTGCAGGGTTGGTTTATTAGCTCAGTGAAGGCCAAGGACCATGCTCAGCCCTCCTCTTGCTTTTGCTCTACTGGTCTCCCTCTATCAATAATGTCTCCCCTCCTGGCCATAAGGTGGCTGCCCTGGATCCAGACATCACATCCTCACACAGAAAAACATGCCGGACAGGCTCTCTTTCCCTTTTACAGAGAGGAAAATATCTTCTAGAAGTGCCTCCGAAAGACCAACTTTATGACTCTTGAGCTAGAACTTGGTCACATGACCATCCCTCCAACACATTTCCTGAATATCTCTACTTCCTTACTGCCTAAGTTTCCTCAAACCACTATAAACTAGAATCACTGCCTCCCTCCCAAGAATTGCTGCCAGTGAGGTCATCAACCACCTAATTGCCAAAACCAGTGCATGCATTTCACAGCCTGGCCTTACTTGGTTTCTAGATCAGTCAACACTGGAGACCTCTCCCTATTCTTTGAAGCTTAATCCTTTTGTAGGGTGTTTTCTCTCCAGGTGTCTGTGCACCTCTCCACCACTCTTCAGGGTTCTGTGGCTCCATTATCCAGCCCCTCCTTCCTACACACCCCCTGTGGACCCAGATGCCACCTTTGTGGCAAATACTACTACAGTTGCATAGCTAGCACCTACCTCTTTTATAAGCAGTGGATCTATATTTTAAATTTCACCGACCTCTTTTATAAGCAGTGGATCTAGATTTAAATTTTAAATCTATATTTTAAGCAGTGGATCTATAATATTGATTCGGGATGTCCCTAGAGAACCTCAAACTAAAACACCAAGGTCATTGTTTTTTCCCTTACACCAAGTCTGCTCTTTCTGTACTCTTTATTTCCATTAAAGGCACCACCACCACCCAAGCTAGAAACCTCAGAACCATCTTCCTCATCATTACCACCATCAACCCATGTCAATTCTACCTTCTAAATACATCTCAAAATCAAAATACATCTCAAAATCATCATCTTTCCATCTCAACCACAGCTGCACTGGTTCTGGTTCAGTTCTTCCAAGGACAGTTCTAACAGCCTTTTTTTTTTTTTAACAGCTTACAAAACATAATTTTATTTAAATTTGTATAGATAAAAATCTACCAAAATTTTAACAAAAACTTTATCCAAATCCTTTCCCACAACAAAATTAGACATCGTGGAAAAAAACAAAACAAAACAAAACGAACATTCAAATAAGGTTCCCATCTTTCTACCATAAACTGGTAGATTCTGGGAGGATGAGGAGTAAGAGATAAATGAGGAGAGAAGATCCTGATACCCAACACAATTTGATCTTCAGTGTTGTCTCATCTTTAAATGACTTAATAACAGAGATTTCCATAAGAATCGGGATTCATTTTTGACACAAAAATGGAAGCTTCCACTCCAAAATCACAAATAAGGTTTCTGGTTTTCTTTTTAGTGTGAGGTAAATAGTATATTCAATATTAAGGCAAATGGTAAAAACACATGAATGGTATATTAATGCAGACCTTCCATCAAATATATTTTGGAACACTCATGGATTTTTCAAACATATGTTGGAATTAGAAACCTGTAAAATCTGCTGCAGTGTGTAATAGCTATTTGCTTGAATGTCTTGGCAGTGCCTTTTTAGTAGCTAATATGTTCAGTGCAATCTTGTGCCTTTTTAGCAATTAATACATTAAATATAATCTTGTCTGAGTTTTTAAATGGTCTGTTTTTCTTTTTCATTATGTAGGATTAGATGCCCACCAAAATACTTGTAAATGAAGCAGGACCTGATTTCAAATTCTGTCTATACACACAATATTTGGCCACATAGACCACTTCCCAAAGTCTGCAAAACACTGCCTACTGGGCAGGCTTACAATGACAGAAAAGTATGAGAATACAAGATATTATTTTTATACTAAAATCAGATTTAGGCTGTCTACATATATTATTCCAGAAAACACAGATTTAAGATTTTTCAGTGATTCTTGCCTTCTCCCCCCTTTTCCTCCACAATGAGATAACCGTTTCTTTCACAATGATGAACCGTCCCTTTTTATGGAAAAATGGCTTTCTTTCCCCATCGGATCAGGACAAAGACGTCACTTCTTGGCCACACTGGCCACAGCCTTCTTGGCTGCATCCTCCAGGTCAATGGCTGAAGTAATGGGGAGTCCGCTGTTGTTATCTTCTGGGCCTCTTGGACATTGGTTCCTTCAAGCCGGACCACCAGGGGCACCTTGAGTTCTAGCTCCCAGCAGGCTTTGGTGATCCCATTGGCAATGATGGCACAGTTGACGATACCGCCAAAAATATTGACAAGGATGGCTTCAACTTTAGGATCAGCTGTGAGCAATTTGAATGCTTGATACACTTGAGCTTCCTTTACACCACCTCCAAGACCCAAGAAGTTGGCTGGCTTCCCACCATTAAGGAAAATGATATCACAAGTAGCCATGGCGAGCCCAGCACCATTCACAAAGCAGGCAATGTTCCCATCTAGTCCTATGTATTTTAGATCATATTTGGCAGCTTCATTTTCAATGGGCTCATTCTCTGATTTGTCATCCATAGAAAATATGTCTTTTTGTTGGAATTCTGCATTGTCGTCAAAGTTTATCTTGGCATCAAAACAGACAACTTATCCTTCTGGAGTTTCACCAAAGAGATTCACTTCCACCTGAGTAGCACCAATTTTCAGAAAGAGATTATACAGCTTCGTAAGTTGATCTGCAGCCTGGCTTTTCAAAGGCCCAACCAAGCCTAGATTTTCTGCCATCCGCTGAGCTTGGCTGTCCTTTATTCCTTCAAAAATGTCAATTTGCTCCTTAAAAATGAGCTCTGGGTTTGAAGCAGCCACCTCTTCAATGTCGACGCCCCCCTGGGGGCTGCCCACCAGCACAGGGCCATTGCAGGACTTGTCCATCAGAATTGCCAGGTAGGTTACTCTGGAAATGTCAAAGTCTTCAGCAACCATCACCTTGTTAACTTTCACACCTTCTTTTGGAGTTTGTTTTGTTGCTAGATTGTACCCAATCATTTGTTTAGCCAGCTATCCCACAACCTTAGGGTCTTTTGTTAAATGAACACCTCCTTTCAAACCACTATTAAAGACACGTTTTCCTCTTCCTCCAGCTAAGATCTGGGCTTTTAAAACAATTTCTTTTGCATTTAGTCTCTTAGCAGCCTCCAGAGCTTCATTCACAGTGTCTGCTACAAAGAATCTTTGAACTCTCACTCCATTATTAGACATAAGTTTCTTGCTCTGGTATTCCTGCAAGCGCAGCCATCTTTTGGAGGTTAATTGAACTGCCTGGGACCCAGCCACCAGGAAGCCGGACCGCAATGCTAGGGCTCGCAAAAGCCTTCCAGCTTGCGCTGCCACAGGGGACGCCATCTTAAACATGAAACCCGGCACTTTAACAGCTTTTTAACTACTGCCCCTTTCCTTTTTTCCTGCCTTGTATGAAGATGTGGTGCATGGAACTGTGGCAGCCATCTTGTAACCATGAAGTGATGAGAGTAAGAACTAAAAGCCAAGGAGTTAAGGATGGCAGAAGAAAACCGGACAGGAACTGGGTCTCTGTGTTGAGCAGTTGAGTCAACGCCGGGAATCATCCGTCTGGAGACTGCCTGTGATGTGAAGTCATAAATGTCTTTCCTTATGCCTTTGATATTGGCTATTAGTTGCATCATAAGCCATTCCTAATTGACACAGTGAGTAGGAAGATGAAGGTAACAATGTGAACAAACTTACAACATGTTGATGTGGCACTCTTGAAGCAGCTATTTTAGTCTGAGAGGCAGTTTTGTTTGTTTGTTTGTTTGTTTGTTTTAGGTAGCTGGGGGGAAAGCCAAACTATTAAATATTTAGTTTTTAATTATTGTTACTAAGTAGTATATTCAGTAGTCATCATGCGCACATCCCTTGTCCCTTGTTTGTCTTTTTCACTTAGGCCTGTTTTTAATTTTTAATATAAAACAGTGTGTTGAGCAATTTTGTGGAGAGTGTTTTCAAATGGTCACGTCAAACATTCCCTGGGTCAAAATGGCCACAGCAAACAGGCCTCTGCCAAGTGTATGGCCTCACCTGGAGCAAAGGCATGGGAGGCAGGGATCTGTGGAGTAGGGTGAGGACACAGCAAGTTAAGATGGTAGGGGGGAGTCATGTGGGGTGGAACTCAGAGAGTGGGGGGTTGAGAGTAGAGTAGGGGCAAAATATGTGAAATGTAGGGCTTGTGAAATGTGGAAGTCCTTCTTCCCAAATGCAAATTGGGGGCACCCATTTCACTGGGTCGTTCTTGGCCTCCATCCCATCCTGCCTATTTTGTGCACCTTCAGGTGGCCTGCTCTCATCTCAGCCCCACCTGGGTGCCTGTGGGAAACGTGGTTGCCCCAGTGTCACACAGGAAGCATGGCCATCTCTGCTGCTGAGGTCTGAAGTCCATCCTGGGGTGGAGGTATGGTCGTCTGGTTGGAAGCAGGGACCAGGAGACTTGACTGGAAGTTTCTAATGTCTGATGCTGGTTGAAGGGGAGTCACCAGACAGTCCCCATGATGCCACCTGCAGAGGAAGTAGAAATGAGATCCAGAGATCCAGAGCAGGGAGAGAGTGGAGGACCCAGAGGCTGATGGGGACAGTGCAGAGCATCCCCATCCATATTCAGACTTGCAGATGGACTGGAGTACCTGATGATAATTGCGTAGCATCCAGATTGGGAATGAAGAATTCAGCCTCCACCACAAGTGCAAAGTCCCTGGGACCAGCCGTCCAGAGTCACCCAGTTCTTAATCACTAGACCTCTAGAGATAATGGTCCCCATCCTCACACTTCACCCTTCCCCAGACTGCCCCAAATGTGGCTCTTCTGATGACAGTATTCTCCAGGCTTTATGAAGCTTTACTAATTGTGGCTGGTTAGTTATTTCTGAACAAATGTTATGTTTGTTCATAACAAAAGTTAGTTATGACTCAAACAAATTGTTTCCAGTCCTGGTGTTGAAGGATAGCACTTGAAGAGAGAAAACACTTAATAAACATTCCAAGGTCATTGGCCTTTGGAGAAAGCTTGTCTTTTGGTCATATCACTTCTTCTAATGTGGCTTTTTTCTCCCTCAGAGAAGGGTGTTAGAGGACTGGGCATTTTCCCCTCTAGGCATTGTCAGCAGGACAGTTCCATGAGTGTACTGATGGTTCCTGGTCATGTGCTGTGATCACCAAGGTTCAGCCAGTTTTGTGTCTGGGGAACCAGTAGGTTCCTTGGGTATAACGCTCCCCATTGCTGAGGTTATAGCAGCCTCTAGGGGTTGCCACGGGTTACTGTGCTGGCTACAGTGTCTTGGATCCCTTTAAAGTTGGAGTTCTCAGGATTTCCTACAGGTGTTCCATGGGAGCACGGAGGGTCTGATGGCCATGGTCTGCAACTTAGGGTATCAGTTTGCCTAGATCCACCTGAGAATCACCCCCACTCTAACTGCACACACGCAACATACACACATGCACATACAGTGCCTGCTCTGAAGGGGGCGTGCATTCAAGTCCTCACTCCACTTGTTGAAGCCCCCCAATTTCCCCTAGTTCTTCCCCATGTCCCCAACCTCCTCATTCGCTGAACACAGGCATGTTTGTGTTCACACGTGGCCCTGGAGAGCTGTTGCCAAGCGGTATTTAGCATTTTCCTGAGTCTCTCAGCAGGGGCGTTCCAGGCTCTAGTTTTTATGATTTATCTCAAAATCCAATCCAGTCTCATCACTCTCTGCTTAAAGCTTTTGGCGATTTCCCATTTCCCCTTCTTGTGGCTTATAAGGCCCCTTTCCCGTCTCCCTGCCCTCTTCAGCCTCGTCTCTCCTGACACATCATCCCCACCTGCTAGTAGAATGAATTTCTTTTTGTACTTCAAAAGCGCTCTTCTCATTCTTGAAGTTTTACAATTAATCCCATCTGGCCACAGCTCTGTGTACACCATGGCAGTGTCTAATAATTAGTTATGAGTGTCTACGTATCATCCAGTATTCAGCAGGGCAACTGTGACTTGCCCACTGCAAAGCTCCAATACCCACTTTGAAAGACACCAAAGAAGGTTAAGACGCAGTTCCTACTTTCCTGGAATTTTACCTTCTAGTTGGGTAAGACATGAACACATGAAATGCCTAGAAAAACAAGTAAGTGTTAAAACAGAGGTTGCAAACTGGTGGACTGTGAGCTGAAGCTAGGCCTTAAAAAAATGTGTCTTGTTTCAAAATAACAATCTTAGCCAGCTCAGTTGTCGTTTTCCAATTTTTAAAATTCTGGTAAAGTACATACAATGTTAAATTTACAATGTCAACCACTTTTAAGTGTAAAATTCAGTGGCACTAAGTACATTCATATTGGTGTGCAGCCATCACCACCGTCTACCTCCAGAGCTTTTTCATACCTTTTTTTTTTTTTTTTTGGAAACTAAGTCTCGCTCTGTCACCCAGGCTGGAGTGCAGTGGCGCGATCTCAGCTCACTGCACCTCCACCTCCCAGGTTCAAGCGATTCTCCTATCTCAGCTTCCCAAGTAGCTGGGACTACAGGCACCTGCCACCATGCCTAGATAATTTTTTGTATTTTTAGTAGACATGAGGTTTCACTCTATTGGCCAGGCTGGTCTCAAACTCCTGATCCACCCGCCTCGGCCTCCCAAAGTACTGGGATTACAGGTGTGAGCCACTGCACCCAGCCTAGAACATTTTTCATCTTGCAAATCTGAAACTCTGTACCCATTCATCACTAATACCCCATCCTTGCCCCCCACCCACCTCCTGGCAACCACCATTTCACTGTCTCTGTGGTTTTGACTACCCTAAGTATTACAGATATTGTAGCTCATACAAATGGAATCGAACAGTAATTTATCCTTCTATGACTGACTTATTTCAGTTAGCAGAATGTCCTGAGGATTCATCTGTGTTGCATATATCAGCATTTCCCTCCTCTTAAGGCTAAATAATATTCCATCATGTGATATATATATATGTGTGTGTGTGTCACATTTTGCTTATCTGTTCGTCTGTCAATGGACACTCGGGTTGCATCCGCGTTTTAGCTCTCGTGAATAATGCTGCTATGAATATGGGTGTACAAATATATCTTCAAGACTCTGCTTTCAGTTCTTTTGAGTATATACCCCGAAGTGGAATTGCTGGATCATATGCTAATTCTATTTTTAAATGTTTGAGGAACTGCCATACTGTTTTCCACAGCAGCTGCACCATTTTCCATTCCTACCAACAGTGCTCCAATTTCTCTACATCCTCACCAACACTTATTTTCGATTTTGTTTTTGTTTTGTTTTGCTTTTTAATAGTAGCCATTGTAATGGATGTGAGGTGGTCAATATAGTTAAATTTTTTAAAAATTAGTTACCAATATCTAAAAATCAAATTTCACTTTAAAAATGTGTATTTTCAGTTTTTTTGAAAAATTGGAAGACTCTGGCTGGCCTGGCCTGTCCTCGTCCCTGGTAACAGTTGGCTAGAGCTAAGTAGCAACTGCCCCTTGGCACAGGGCAGGGCCTGCAATTTCCAGCTCAGCTTGCACCTCTCATGTAGGTTCCTGAACACAAAAAATAAAAGCAGGTGCCTCTCACCCCAGCACTGCCACTTTTCCCCATTGAACGGTCAGGAAGAGAGAATTTTCCTTGTATTCGTCCTTGATAAAATGTGGCAAAACTAACAGTAGATAGGGAGATAGGGAGTGACTGTCATTTTTGTGATAGTGTATACCGATTATGTTCAATTGGTAGATTAGTCCATTTTCACACTGCTGTGAAGAAAACATGAGACTGGGTAATTTATTTTTATTTTAAAAAGAAGTTTAACTGGATCATGGTTCTGCAGTCTGTACAGGAAGCATGACGGCATCAGCTCCTGGGAGGCCTCAGGGAACTTACAATCATGACAGAAGAAGAAGGGGGCAGAGTGAGGCATCTCTTGTTGGGAGAAGAAGCAAGAGAGAGAGGTGGGTAGGTGCTAACCAGTCCTCATGTAACTGGTTACACAACCAGTAAATAACCAGTAGAGAATAACCAATTCTCATGAGAACTCTATCACAAGAACAGCACCAAAGGGATGGTGCTAAACCCTTCATGAAGGATCCACCCCTATGATCCGATCACCTCCCAACAGGCCCACCTCTAACTCTGGGGAGTACAATTGAACAGGAAGTTTGGGGAGGGACACAGATCCAAACCATATCAATTGGCAAATACAGTTTCTTGTAGTCAGTCACTTCACTTGTGTTAGTTCTTCCTGGCCCCTGTAGGCATTTGAGTTTGTGATCCTTGGGTTAAACTCTTGGCCACTAGGTGTTCTGAGACAATGGCTGCTCTGGGAGCTGGCTGATCAAAGGCAGTTTGAGAAAGGAGGCAGATTTTCACCTCTGCCTTGAAGGATCATGTATTAGT